GGGCCTATGGGTGGTGTGGGCCTATGGGTGGTATGGGCCTATGGGTGTATGGGCCTATGGGTGGTATGGGCCTATGGGCGTATGGGCCTATGGGTGGTGTGGGCCTATGGGCATGTGGGCCTATGGGCAGCATGGGCCTATGGGTGGCATGGGCCTATGGGTGGTATGGGCCTATGGGCATATGGGCAGCATGGGCATATGGGTGGTATGGGCATATGGGTGTACAGACCTATGGGTGATATGGGCCTATGGGTATTATGGGCCTATGGGCGTATGGGCCTATGGGTGGTGTGGGCCTATGGGTGGTATGGGCCTATGGGTGGTGTGGGCCTATGGGCATATGGGCCTATGGGCAGTATGGGTGTATGGGTGACATGGACGTATGGGTGGTATGGGTCTATGGGAGAAGGGGGGCCCTGGGTGAGACACAGACGGCCAGAGGGTGTCCTCCTCTAGTCATACTCTCCCCTTCCCCCTCTGCTTCTAGCTAGTGAAACGGGTTCAATGAGTGCAGACACTGGGGCTGAGGAAGATGAAGAGGCAGGGAACGCCTGTAGTAGAAACCTGTGAGTGCCCCCTCCCACTCCAAGCAGCCAGGCAGGGTCTGTCCTGATGCCCCAGGGTGGGGGAGGGGGGTTCTGAAATGCCTCAGTTCACAGATCTGTCAAATGAAACTCCTCCCTCCCCAGACTCAGCCTAGCCCCTTCCATTTGGCAGGGCCAAGATCATGAAGACCAGGCTGTGGTAAGTTTGTAGGAAGAGCCAAGGCAGCCCTGGGGTTAGGAATCTCCTGTGACTGCACACCAGGCCCTTCCCCACCTCCTCCCCCCACCCCAGCCGCCATTCTGCCAAGATTCCCAGAGAAGGCTTCATGGAGGGCTCGTACATGGATACGGAAGTGGGAGACAGCATGTTGGACAGTAGAACTGGAAAGTGGGCAGATCAGAGGCAGCCTGCAGAGGGCTGAGGGGAGGACATTCATTCCTAGGAGCCCTCGGAAGTCATGAAGCTTCTGGAACAGGGAAAGAAGTAGGCTTTAGGAAGATGCTTGGAAAGGGGAAGAGATTTGGGGGAGTTACCAGTTTGGAGACTATGACAGTAGTGATGGGAGCAAGGGGTGATGGGAGCCTGAACCAGGAGAGAGAGGAAGGATTGGATGAGTACTGTGAGTCAAAGAAAACTGCCACATAGACCCTGTCAGGGAGGCTTGGGAAGATGGTGGCCCCCTTGCCAGAGATAGGGAAGCTAGGGAGAAGTGGAGTGGTTTGGGGGGAGAAGATAATGGACGCATTCGCTTTGGTGTGTGTTGAGTTTAAGACAGAGAGCCAGCATGGCTCTGGGCTGAGTGGCCCTGAATTCAAATCCCACATCTAATGATTACTAACCAGAAGACCTAGCCATTGAACCTCCCTCCCCCAGTGTCCTTGGGTTGCATGGCCTTAGATCCACCATACACAGATGGAGCTGTCCAGGCAGCAGTTCAAGAAACTCCCTGAAACCATGGAAATGGATTAGATAATCACTTCTCAGTGGTAGCCTAGGAGCAGAGGGAGGGGTGGAGAAAGGAGGCCACCAAGTCCTCCTTTCTTCCTCCCCCACCCCCACCCTAGCCGCAGGGTCCGAAGGGCCAACAGGGCGCTCAGGGCCCACTGCCGCCATGCGGTGAAATCTGTGGCCTGTTACTGGACTGTTCTGCTTCTGGTCTTTCTGAATACGCTGACCATCGCTTCTGAGCACCACGGACAGCCGGTCTGGCTCACACAAATCCAGGGTGAGACCTCCTAAGACAACTAAATCCTCCCTGCCCCCAAATGCCCTTGGGAGCCCCTGATGCCAGGACCCCACTGAGGCAGAGCCCTTATGGAGCCCCAAGAAAGATAGCCCAGGACCCCCAAAACCCCCCAAATCCTCCCCCCCCCCCCCCCCCCCCCCCCCAGAATATGCAAACAAGGTCCTGCTCTGCTTATTCACTGCGGAGATGCTTCTGAAACTTTATGGCCTTGGCCCAGCCGCCTACGCAGCCTCCTTCTTCAACCGCTTCGACTGCTTTGTGGTGTGTGGAGGCATCCTAGAGACAGCCCTGGTGGAGGCTGGGGCCATGCAGTCGCTGGGGATCTCAGTGCTGCGCTGTGTTCGCCTCCTGAGGATCTTCAAGGTGACCAGGTCTGAGAAGCCTCCGCCCACCCCTCCCTGCCATCCCCTCCCCACGTCCCTCCACCAGCCAGCCACCTGACAGGCCTCTTTATCCCATCGGGTTCAGCGGCCCCCTAATCCATCTGTCCGACTCCTGGTAAGATCGGCCTATTGGGCTCCACCTTTGAGAAAACTATTGACTACCACCAGGTGGCAGTAGGGTGGTGGTAACCATAGAGCTTTTTGGCCAGAGCAGAGCTCTTCCGAGGCCACCAATTCAACAGATTGTTGAATACCAAGTATTTATTAAGTGCCTACAGTATGCTATCGTGACAAAACGAAGCAAACATTCCTTCGTTATGATTACTGTCTACAGAGCCATAGAGAAGACTTTGGAGCCGACTCCCAAAGGCCACAGATGGCTAAGGGACCCTAGGGCTTTGTCTACCCACGATGCTGCTCAGCTGGACCTTCTCAGCTTCCTTGCAATGTCGTCTCCCACAGAGTGGGATTAGCTCTGAGTCTCTGAATTTACACCTGCTGGGGAAAGAGGGGCTTGGATTTCGGTCAGTCAGTTGATAAACATTTATTAAGCACTTACTGTGTGCCAGGCACTGTGCTAAGTGCTGGGAATACAAAAGAAAAGAAAGAGCTTATGATCTATTGGGGGGAGAATAATAATAACAATCATAAAATAATGCGCATTTATACAGTGCCCACTCTGTGCCAGGCACTATGCACACCAGAGGAAGCTGAAAGGGGCTGGGATGAAGGTCTGGGGGCGGGAAGGGGCCTGATGGCAAAGTGCAGAGGAGTGCAGCCTGGTGGGAAGTGAGACGAGGGAGCTAGCCTGGGGGGGCTCTCCAATTTGAGGGAGGAGTGGATGCCATTCGAGGCTCCTGGGGTCTGATGGAGAAGTCCAGAGGAGGGCGATTGCAGTCAACTTAGCTCCAAAATTTCAGAGCTTCCTTCCTGGCTTCTCTGGCACTAACCTGTGGCGCGAATGCTGGAGCCCCCACATCTGGGTCCTCTATTCTCCAATTCCCTGCTTTGCTTTCAGACCCGGCTCTGCATCTAACTTGCAGTGTGACCTTGCTTTCTACTTTCTGCTAGATAATGACCCTAACCCTGAGGAGCAGATCTCGAACCTTAATTCTCAGAAACTCTGCTGTTCAGTCTGCACTTCAAACCCTAACCCACCCCTGTCCCGACTCTCACCCTGGAGAAGGTGGCGACCCCAACCCGACCCTGACAACAGCTCCCTGGCCTTGACCTTTGCCCAGACCTTGACTAGGCTCTCCCCTCCCCCCAGGCACTGGGCATCCCTCAGCAACCTGGTGGCCTCACTTCTCAACTCCATGAAGTCCATTGCATCCTTGCTTCTGCTTCTCTTCCTCTTCCTCATCATCTTCTCCCTCCTGGGGATGCAGCTCTTTGGGGGGAAATTCAACTTTGACCAGACCCACACCAAACGGAGCACCTTTGATACCTTCCCCCAAGCCCTGCTTACTGTCTTCCAGGTCACGTCTTGGCTTCCAGCAGCCAGGGTGACCTTGAGGACTGGGTGGGGAGACTGGGGGCCGGGCGGGGAGACTGGGGGCTGGGGAGAATACTGGGGAGGAGGGGAACCCAACACAAGCCTGGGTTTGGGGTGGGTGGGGGTGGGCCAAGGACTCCGTTCCCCTCAGCAACAGTGACTTTGGCCCCACAGATCCTCACTGGCGAGGACTGGAACGTGGTCATGTATGATGGGATCCTAGCCTACGGGGGGCCCTTCTTCCCTGGAATGTTGGTCTGCATCTACTTCATCATCCTCTTTATCTGCGGCAACTGTATCTGCTTCACACGCCCTCTGCGCCCCCCTCCCTCTGACTCTTGGGGCCTTGCTTCCCATCAGCTTCAACCCACAGCCCCCTCCCCTCGGGTTCCTCCCACTCTCCCTCAGCCCAAAGACCCCCAGACTCATCCCTGGCTCCCTGCTCATCCGTGGGCTTCCACAGACACTGAGCCCTTTCACTCACCCTTGGGCTCCTGCTTCTCCTATGGGCGGTATGGGCCTATGGGTGGTATGGGCTTCCACACACCCTTTTTGGGGAGGAAGGAAAGAAGGAATGTCTATAGGTCCTAGGATCCTGAACTTAAACCATCAGACATCCTACTGAATGTCTTCCTTGCCATTGCTGTGGACAACCTGGCAGGGGGAGATGCCAGCACCTCCAAGGGCCGGGGAAAGTGAGGACCACCCCCCACCTTCCGAGAATCCTTCTTGCTACTCTAGGCCAAGGGACAAGAAACTGGTTCCCTACCTCACCCATCTCACCTGGGCGGGGGGTGGCGGGATTCCCTCTAAACCCCATCCCCACAACCCTTCCCACCATTTCCTGCCTGAGCAGGGAGAAGAATGCTGAGCAGGGTACCAGCCCCCAAGACAACAGAGTGCTGGTGAGTTCAGCTGGGACAGAACTTGGGGGGCTAGAACTTGGGGGGGGTCCTGAGCCTTGTGCTGCTCACTCCCAGGTGCCCTGTGGAGAGGACAAGGAAGAGCAAGAACAAAGTGAAGATGGAGGTAATGGAGAATGGGCTTGGAAAGGGTCTCAGGAGATGGGAGGGAAGCTTCCCCTCTCTGGCTCAGTTTCCTCAACCCACAAAAGGAGTTTGGTTAGATGATCTCTAAGCACCCTTCCAACTCTGTCAGCCTGTGAGGTGGAAGGGGGAGGGGGAGGCAGAGGAGAACAATAGGATCTTGTGAGCCTCTCCTAGAAAATCCGTGGACTGAGAGTTTAAATCCCAGCTCTCCCACTTGCCTGTGTGACCTTGGGTAAGTCACTTGACTTCATTTAAACTTGCTCAGTTCCTTCATCTTGTAAAATGAATGAGTGGGCTAAAGAGTGAAAGGCCATTCCAACACTCAGTCCATGATCCCAGCGATAGGGAGGGCCCAAGGGGTCAGAGCATAGCGCCTGGCACGCAGTAGGTGCACTCTGTAAAGAAATGCTTATTCCTTCCCTCCTCGTGCTAACCTTGCTTTCCTTCCTGGGCCAGGTTCGGGGGAGGAGGAAGAGGAGGATGACCAGGAAGGAATTAGGCTAGAACGCCTACAGGAAGTGGTACCCAAAGAGAAAGTGGTGCCCATCCCTGAGGGCAGTGCCTTCTTCTGCCTCAGTCGCACAAACCCGTGAGTGTCTGAGGAGCCCATGAGGATTCGGAAGGCTGTGGGGGAGCCTCACGAGGGAGGCAGGGACGAGGCTGAGCCACGATCTCTACTCGCTCTCTGTCCCAGGCTTCGGGTGAGCTGTCACGCTGTCATCCACCACCGCATCTTCACCAACCTCATCCTGCTATTTATCATCCTGAGCAGCGTCTCCCTGGCTGCCGAGGACCCCATCCGGGCTCACTCCTTCCGAAACCACGTGAGGGACAGCTGGCTGGCTGGGTGGATAGGGAGCAGAGAGGGGGAGGAGGGATGGGGAGAGCCCGCAGTGCCCCAAGGACGTGCAGAGAGAGGGCTGACGCCTGGGGCTAAAAAGTGCAAGAGACCCACAGACATTCCTGCCCCGAGGATGAGCTTACGGTCTAGAGGGAGAAAACAACAGGGAGGGAAGTTTGGGTCCCCAAGGGGGAGTCAGAGGGATGCTTGAGTGGGTCCCCTCAGGAGTCTGGGAACGCATCTTTCCCAAAAGTAATGATTTGACTGTTGTGCCCAGAACAGGAGGTGGGATGGGAAAGAGGGAGGGGGAGAAGAGGGTGGGACAAGTGGGGCAGGGAGCCTTAGCTGGAGGGGATGTGAGCTGGAGTCTGCTCTGCTCTGAGACCTGCTGGTCTCTGGATGGCCAGCCCCAGGACACTTTGGAAGGCCTGGGTTCTGGGTGCTGATCCAGACAGGGGAGAATCCAGAAACCAAGAAACAGGAAAAGCACCACAGACAGACAGACACACATGCACATGCACACACACGCACACACGCACACACGCACAGTCTTAGGGAACTAGAGAAAGATAGAACAAGAAAAAAAAAAAAACCAGAGAGATATGAAAGAGAGACCCACAGAGAAATAGAGATGCAGAGAAAGGTTGAGATGGCCCTCCTGAGAGAGGCCCACATGCTGGAGGGGCAGAGTGGGAAACAGAGGCATTCACAGAGAGAGAGAGAGAGACAGAGACACAGAGACAGAGAGAGAGGAGAGACAGAGAGAGAGAGAGACAGAGAGAGACAGAGAGAGGAGAGAGAGAGAGAGAGAGAGCCCTTGACCCTTGAGACACTGGAGGGGGGGAGGCGGCAGGAGAGACCAAAAGACATAGGAAGATGTTGGAGGCTGGACCAGAGAAATCCAAAGAGAGGCCAAATCAGAGAGCAGAACCAGAGGTGAAGCAAAGGCAGAGGGGCTGGCTAATGGCCACACCCTGTCCTCCATTCAGGTCCTTGGTTATTTTGATTATGCTTTCACCTCCATCTTCACTGTTGAGATCCTGCTCAAGGTGAGCCTCCCAGCCCCATCCCAGCAGCCCCCTGTCAATCTGCCCATCTGTATCCTTGGGGCTGAGCCACCCTGCTCTCTTGTACCCACCCATCCCCCAGATGACTGCTTTTGGGGCCTTCCTACACCGAGGCTCCTTTTGCCGAAACTGGTTTAATCTGCTGGACCTGCTGGTGGTCAGTGTATCCCTCATCTCCTTTGGCATCCAGTGAGTTCCTCCTAAGACCTGGGCCCCAACCCTCGAGTAGTCACATGGGCTCACTTAAGAATTAGGAACCCCAAACTTAGGAATATTCCTCAAAAGATCTAATGAAACTGGGACCACCAAACCAGGAATGACCAGAAACCAGAACCTTTCAAACCTGGGACCCCCCCCCCAACTCAAGACTTTCTGAATTTGGAAGCCAAGACCCCTACCCCTTGAATCCTAGCCCTGGGCCCTCTGACCCCCCAACCAGATATGGGTCTCCTCTAGAGCCTGAGCTGGATCCTAGCCAGAGAATCAGACAGGGCCCTTGAGCCCCAGAATTCCAAGGTAGGGTGAGGCTGACTCTGGCTCCGGCTCTCAGTTCCAGCGCCATCTCCGTGGTCAAGATCCTCCGTGTGCTGCGGGTGCTCCGTCCCCTGAGGGCCATCAATCGAGCCAAGGGCCTCAAGGTGACTGGGTTTTCCCAGAGTCTCCCTGACCCAGGGCAGGGCTCAGAGTGCAGGGCTTCTTTGTCCAGTCCTGGGCACCACTCTTGTGTCCTCAGCACGTGGTCCAATGTGTCTTCGTGGCCATCCGCACCATCGGCAACATCCTGATTGTGACCAGCCTGCTCCAGTTTATGTTTGCCTGCATTGGGGTCCAGCTTTTCAAGGTAGGGAGTCGCCAGGCTAATGGGAGCCAAATGCCATAGGGCCTGTGCTGGACAAACTCCTCCCTTCCCCCCACTCCCTGCTCCATGGCCTCTGTATCTCCATAGGGGAAACTGTACAGCTGCACGGATGAGGCCAAACACACACCGACAGAGTGCAAGTGAGTGCCCTGAAAATCCCCTTCCTGGTCCCTGGGAGCCCCATGCTGTGTCCTTCTGAGTGCCTGGGAAAGCCCCCCAAGCCCTTCCATTCCTCCTCAAACCCTCTGTCTCCTTCCCCTCCCCCCAAGAGGCACCTTCCTTGTGTACCCTGATGGAGATGTGGCCCATCCTGTCATGAGGCAGCGTGTGTGGCAGAATAGTGACTTCAACTTTGACAACGTTCTGTCGGCCATGATGGCGCTCTTCACCGTCTCCACCTTTGAAGGCTGGCCTTCGTGAGCTCCACTCTGCATTCACACAATGGGGGGTGGGATGGGGAGGGGCCGGCAGGGGAGAGCCCAGTCCCCTCCAAGTCTCCATCCCCAGCCTCCCAGCCTCCCAGCCTCTCTAGTTCTGAGAGTCTGGACTCCCTCACTGTCCCACCCTTGGACCCTCCCCAGTAACACACACACACACACACACACACACACACACACACACACACACACAAACTCAGAGTTAAAACCTTTTAGTCCTGTGCCTGGGAGGTACCTTGGCAGGTGAGTTCCTCACTCAGCTCTTTTGCTCACTGCCTGAAAAACCCTGGGCCAGTCACTTCTCTTCCCTGGGATGCTTCGGTTCCCTTCTATGTCTTTGAACATGTATCACCCTATGCCGTGGACTCCATCTCTTGGTCCCCTCTGCCCCGCCCAGGTTGCTCTACAAGGCAATAGATGCCCATGCGGAGGACCAGGGCCCCATCTACAACTACCGGCTGGAAATCTCCATCTTCTTCATCGTCTATATCATCATCATTGCCTTCTTCATGATGAACATCTTTGTGGGCTTTGTCATCATCACCTTCCGAGCCCAGGGCGAGCGAGAGTACAAGAACTGTGAACTCGACAAGAACCAGGTCCTGGCCTTCACCCCAACATGGCGTCTCCTCGCGCCCTGGCCCCCACCGCTGACCTCTGCCTTCTCTCTTACAGCGCCAGTGTGTGGAATATGCCCTGAAAGCCCAGCCTCTTCGACGCTACATTCCCAGGAACAGGCATCAACACCGAGTCTGGGCAACTGTCAACTCCCCAACTTTTGAGTACCTCATGTTCCTGCTCATCCTGCTTAACACTATTGCCCTGGCTATGCAGGTCCATCACCCGCCTGGCATCCCATCCCCCACCTCCTGACCCTGTGTGCCCTGGGCGGGCGCCTGCCCCTCTCAAGGCTAAGTTTCTTCCTCCATAAAAGGAAGGGGTTAGACTCAATGATCTCTGATTGGATCCGACGAGACCTGACTCCCACAGGTCCCTGCCTCTCTGACAGTCTCAGTTTCTTCCTCTCTAAAGTAAGGAGATTGTATTGAATGGTCCTTAAGACATTCGGAGACCCCAAGTCCCTGCCGCACTCTGTACCCCACTTTCCCCCTCTTTCAAATGTCCCTTCTAGCCTTCATGTTCTGTGTTCTAGCGGAGAGGGTCAGGAAGACCTGCCTCAGTTCCTAGTTGTGTGACTCTGGGCAAGTCACTTCACTGCTGCCTGCCTCATTTTCCTCATCCGGAAAACGGGGATCATAACAATAGCCCCTCCCCCCTAGGTTGTTGTGAGGATCCACCAAGATCATCTTTGTTCCGGGCACAGGTGTTTAATGCATGCTTATCCCCTTCTTGCTTCCTTCCTTCCTCCTTTCTCATGGTCCCATTTTCTCTCCCCAGCACTATGAACAGACAGCTCCCTTCAGCTACACGATGGATGTCCTCAACATGGTCTTCACAGGCCTGTTCACTGTGGAGATGCTGCTCAAGGTCATTGCCTTCAAGCCCAAGGTTGGCACCTTCCTGAGGGGGTCCAGACCTGGACAGGCCAAGCTATGCAGTACTCACAGCTGGGGGGCTGGGGCAGGGAAGGAGCTCAGAGATCGTTGAATCCAAACCCCTCATTTAATGGAAGAGGGTAATTCCAGCCTAGAGGGGGGACAGGATATGGCCAAGGTCACACAGCAAATTGGGAGAAGTGCCCAGGATAAGAACTTCATGTGCCTGGATCTTGGCCCAAGGCTACTTTCAGTAGAACTTGGGGCTCCTGGTGTGGGTACCTCCTACCACTTCCCCTGGATTTCTCACATCAGTCCTCCTCACCTCAGCATTACTTCTGTGATGCCTGGAATGCTTTTGATGCCCTGATCGTGGTAGGCAGTGTGGTGGACATCGCAGTCACTGAGGTCAATGTGAGAATACTACTCCCCTGCATGATCTCCGTCTCCCTGTTGGACTCAGCCTAGTCTCCTCTGTCATCTCCTTCCTTGTTTTCTCCACGTTCCACCCTTTCTCCGTGACCTTCTCTGCTGATTTCTCCATTGTTTCCTTCTTGGTCCCTCCGTCCTCTTCACGGTCTCCAGTGCCATCTGCTCCTTCCTCTCTGCTGGTCTCCATTTTTTCCCCAGAGCCTCCTTGGCCTTCATCTTTCCTCATAGTCTTCATCCTCCTCCCTCTCTTCTTTGTTGGCATCTCCATTGTTGCCTCTATTATTCCTTTATCTCTTCTGTCTTCTCCCTTGCCTCATTTTTGTCTGTTGTCTATCTTATAATCTCCAACATCATCTCCATCTTCTCCTCTGCCATCTCCATCACCCTCAGAATGGAGGACTCCTCGGTGAGGTAACTTGATTGGGACACTGTCGGCCTCTTCCTTTTTTCTCACTGCCGACTCATATATGCCCTCGTTCCGTCCCCAGCTCCCTAGAGGATCTGCATGGGCAGAAGTTGGGGGAAGGTGTCCAGGGATGGGACAAGGGGCATCTTGGAGAGGCAGTGGCCTGGGGGAGGTCCTCAATGTTTGGACCTCCATTCCAGAGCTCCGAGGATAGCTCCCGGATCTCCATCACCTTCTTTCGCCTCTTCCGTGTCATGAGGCTAGTCAAGCTTCTCAGTAAGGGGGAAGGGATCCGTACACTCCTGTGGACTTTTATCAAGTCTTTCCAGGTAAAGTCTTTGGCTCCCTCCTACCCAAGAGCTCACCTCACAAAATTCTCCCTGCTCCTCCCTGTGCCAGGACTACAACTCCCAGAATTCTGTTCCAACCCACATTTTTTTCCTGCTTCTCCCAGGATTGCAACTCATATAGTCCATGCACATTATTCGCTTCAACTTAGGACTACAACTCCCAGAATTCTTCCTGTTTCCCCTCCCCCCCCCAGCCCAAAGCTATAACTCTTAGAATTAGTCCTGCTTCTCCCAGGACTACAGTTCCCAGAATTCTCTCTGACAAGCATAACTAGGATGAGGTTTTGTAAGGAGACTCAGAGCTTTGTCCCAGGTTGGAAAATTGAAAGAGACAGCTTGCAGCAGTGGAGTCTAGGGAGGGGCTGCTGGGCTTGCGGAATGGGTGACAAGCAGGTGACCACCAAGCTGTCCCCTGCCTCCCTTCTGTTGGGCTTCTTGGATGTCAATAGTGAAGAATCACTGTCCTTGGTACCTAGTTGGCGACTAAGAATCGAGTGGGTGGCTACTTGGGAGGGATCAGGGAGGGTCCTTCCTTGTCCGCTGCCCCAGGCTCGGTGTCTGGTGCTGACCCTTTCTTAATGTCTCTCTTTGTGTCTGTGTGTCCGTCTGCCACTGGCCCTAAGGCTCTCCCCTATGTCGCCCTGCTGATTGCCATGATCTTCTTCATCTACGCTGTCATTGGCATGCAGGTGAGCCTCCAGGAGGGGAAGAGAAGAGGAGGGAGGGTCTGCCGGCTCCCCTCAGGGGCATCCCCATCATCCTCTGCCGTCTTCTCTCAGATGTTTGGGAAGGTGGCCCTCCAGGACACAACTCAGATCAACCGGAACAACAACTTCCAGACCTTCCCCCAAGCTGTGCTCCTGCTCTTCCGGTGAGGAACGCCGTTTGGGGGAAGGCCCTGGGGCCCCTGGGTCTGGCCTGGCTTTCACAATGCCATGCTGCAGCTGACACTGGTGGCTCAATCTTTCTGAGGCCTGCTTTCCCCTTCTCTAAAGCAAGGAGGGGAGGGGTGGATTCTGTGACCTCTAAGGGCCTTCCCAGCTCTGCCACCTGGGCTCTCTGTAATAGGAAGAGATTGGCCCTTCAGCTCTCTCGGTGCCCCTTGGAGACTCAAGCATGTTAGGTCTCAAAGGTTGCCAACCTCTGTTAGAGAAATAGGATCGCTCACGGATACCTAGAACTACTAATTGCCTGTGTGACCAGTCTCTGGCCCTCTCTGGCTCTCAATTTCCTCAGCAGGTTGGACTGCCCCCACCCCCACCCCAGCTTATACCTCGGAGCTGCTTATTTGACGACTTGCTCTGTGGCTTCAGACCAGTCCCTTTCTCTGTGTCTCAGTTGCCGCCCCCCCCCAATATCTGTAAAATGATGGAGGTGGGGTTAGATGCTTGCTCTCTGAGGACCCTTTTGGCTGCAGTCCTGTCCCCTGAGCTTGGGCCTTGGCTCTAGCCCTCATTGGCTATGTTCTTCTGTGGGGCCCTGGCCCAGGTGCGCCACCGGAGAGGCGTGGCAAGAGATCATGCTGGCCAGCCTGCCTGGGAAGCGCTGTGACCCTGAGTCAGACTTCGGACCTGGCGAAGAGTACACCTGTGGAAGCAGTTTCGCCATTGTCTATTTCATCAGCTTTTTCATGCTCTGTGCATTCCTGGTGAGCTCCCAGGGGACAGAGCAGAGGACCTGTCCCCAGACTCCGCTGATCCCCACAACCTCCCCCAAGTCCCGTGGCAGAGCCTCAGTTCCACAATCTAGAAAACACAGGTTGGGGCTTACATTGTTTCTAAGGCTCCTTCCAGCTCTGAGGATGGTGTCATCCAAAGAGCCCTGCACTGGAAATGTGCAGCCCTGAGCTCCAGTGCCAACTTTGCACCTCACTTACTGTGTGATCCTACCCCTCTCTGGGCTTGAATTTCCTCTTCTGAAAAATGAAATGGGACTCGATGGTCATGCAAGCCTTTCCCATTGCTGGGGTTTCTTTAAAGCGGGGGGTGGGGGTGGTCTGCTGATTTCTTTCTAAGCCCCCTTACCTCCATCCAAGACTGTTGGGGTTAGTGACTTGGGTGGGGCCAGGCAGAGTGAGATCTCCTCTATGAGCCTCAGTTTCCTCTGTCAATGACCTCAGTGGTTCCTTGCCCCTCTTAAATATAGGATGTTATTAATCCTAATCATAGCTCACCTGAAAGTTGGCAAACTGCTGAACAGAAGCGATCCCCTATTACTGTTCCCATTATGAGATTGGCAGCCATGATTGAGAAGGATGATATCTGAATTCACCCTAACTTCCTTGTGACCTGGGTCAGTCTCACACTCTCCACCTCAGTTTCCCCCTCTGTAAAGTGAGAGGCTTTGAAGGTTCCTCCCAGCTCTGAGCCAAGGATCCAATAGCTTGGGTGGGGAAGGCCAAACCCAATGAAAAGTCAGGAAGCACTACCTGTGGCACTGAGGACAAGTTACTTGACTTTGCTTGAGTTACCTTGTCGGTAAAATGGGGTCATTGTACCTGTAGCACCTTTCTCCCTCCTGTTTCGAGGGTTCACAAATTTGAAGGCTCTGCCTGGGTCACCTCTAAAAGCCTCATTCCAAATCTGAGCCCAGGAGCTGATAATCTTAGAGGTTGCCAATGGTGATGGAGGGCCTTCCACTCTCTGGGGGGCCTCAGCTCCCCCTAAGCTCCCTTCTGGCCCTGGTTCTTAAGGGGCCCCTCCCCTAACTCTGTTTCTCCCCTCATCTTGCGGCAGATCATCAATTTATTTGTGGCTGTCATAATGGACAACTTTGACTACCTGACACGGGACTGGTCCATCCTCGGCCCCCACCACCTGGACGAGTTCAAGAGGGTCTGGTCTGAGTACGACCCTGGGGCCAAGTATGAGCCCGTCCCCTAACTTGGCAGTGCCCCACTCCAGGCCCTATATTCCTGGACCCCTCCCAGACCCTCGAGTCCTGTGCCCACCAAAACCTATCCCATTCCTTACCCTGGAAGTCAGAGGCCTGCTTGCCTGGGAGGTCTGGGAGGCCCTGGGGCCTGAAAGGCTCTGACCTCTTCTCTCTGGGCTAACCAGGGGCCACATCAAACATCTGGACGTGGTGGCCTTGCTCCGGCGCATCCAGCCTCCCTTGGGGTTTGGGAAGCTCTGTCCTCACCGTGTGGCCTGCAAGGTCTGTCCACCATGGTGCCTGGAATATCCTTCAACCCAATCCCTGACACCCTGGACCCTCCTGAAGCACTCAAGGTCCCCCAGCACTGAGATCCCTCCAGAAGCTTCCTAAAACTCTCTCAGCTCCCAGAGATTCCCTATCCCCAAAATACTCCAGCCTGGGCCCCTTAGGGAACTGCTCCTCTCAGAATCTGCCAGGTTATCCCATGTCTCTGTCATACCCATCTCTCCCTCCCACGTGTATACGTGTGTGTGTGTGTGTGTGTGTGTGTGTGTGTGTGAGAGACACAAGCCCTTGGCCTCTGCAGCGGCTGGTGTCCATGAACATGCCCTTGAATGCTGATGGAACAGTAACATTCAATGCCACCCTCTTTGCCCTGGTCCGGACATCTCTGAGGATTAAGACTGAGGGTAGGATGGAGCCCAGGAAGGGATGGATGGGAGGAGTGGAGTTCCAACCCCAATTGCCTAAGTGGAGTGACTTCCCTGGCCAATGGAAGGGGTCATTCTGGCTTGTCTTCCTTGCCGCACCCAGGGAACCTGGAGAGGGCCAATCAGGAACTGCGAGTCGTCATTAGGAAGATCTGGAAGCACACCAAGCCCAGACTCTTGGACGAGCTCATCCCGCCTCCTGATGGTAGGAGGGCTGCAAACTCCCCCACTCGTCACAGCCCAGTCCCCAATCCCCTCCCCTCCGGTGCTCCCTTTCCCTGTGTTATGGGATGGGCCAGGAACCAGCTATGATCTCTAAGCACCCTGGCTGAGTCAATGAGTCCATGAGTCTCCATTGTCCCGCCCGCCATTTTCCTGCATTCTCCCTACCACCCAGCCCTGCTACCAGGAGGACCCAAATGGTAAGTTCTGTGCTTTCCCTCCTTTATGTCTGGCCACAGAGGAGGAAGTAACTGTTGGGAAATTTTATGCCACATTCTTGATCCAGGATTATTTCCGAAAGTTCCGGCGTCGGAAAGAGAAGGGTCTGCTGGGGGCTGAAGACTTGCCAAGCAACTCATCTGCCCTTCGGGTCTGTGGGCAGGCTGGGAGGGACTAGGGAAGGGAGTCAGAACCCAGGCTTCTCCTGGGGGCCAGCCTTACGGTCCCACAGTCCATCTCATCTCACCATTAGGCGTTCACTGTGAGAAAGGAGGGAAAGGGAAGGAAGAGGCTAGACCTGGGGGACAAGAGGCCTGCCTAGGGAAAGGGCAGGGGATGGAGTGGGGAACGTTAAACCCAATTTTGGGTGCCCTCCTGGACTTCCCCATCCCTAGGCTGGACTGAAGACCCTGCAGGATCTGGGCCCAGAGATCCGCCAGGCCCTTACATGTGCCCTGGAAGAAGAAGGAGATGATGCTGACCTCACGGCGGAGACTGACAGGGTGAGTATGTGAGGTACCTCTGGGGGCAAGAGTCTACTTCACTGGCTCTGTGGCCTCTGTGGGTCTCACCTTCCCCATCTGCAAAATGGGGTAATTGGGCCCAATAATCTTAAGGCCAAATCTTCTGGCTGTGACTAGTGCCCACAGGATGCCCTGGACCCTCCCTCATCATCCCACCATGCTTCTGTGTCTCTGACTATGGCCACCGAGGAGGATCCGGAAGTGGTGAGAAGACCTCTGCGTGGAGCCAATTCTCACAGGTAGGTATTGGGCAAAAGGGGCCTGGGGAGGGCTCTCAGGCTTGGGTTTTAGCCTAGCTGACCTCAGTAGCCTGACCAAGAGGTACAGGTCCGGAAGGTAGAATTCTTCCAGGCGTGGGTGACCAAGGAGAACAGGGAATATAATAATAATAATAATAATAATAATAACAAGAAGAAGAAGAAGAAGAAGAAGAAGAAGAAGAAGAAGAAGAAGAA